CATTTTCATTTGGGGGTGCTCCAATTGCCCAAAATGCATAGCTCCAAATGCATAACGATTGGAGATGCTCTTAGACTTCGATATAAATACTTTGTCAAGTCACTATCTGTGGTGTTACTTTTTATCTGCTTGCAATCTGATAATATGCCAAATATGAAATGATTTACTACCTCTGGAATTATATCTTGAGATAATACACTCCTTTTTCATCCTCGATGTGATGTTGGTTTTGGGTCTAACTCCTTGTCATCATTAGTCTGACCATTGTCAAAATTGTGGTAAATTTCCTTTTTGTTCATCTACTGCAGCCTAAAACTGACTCCTTTTTAACAGGCAAAGCTAGATACTGTCAAAATTGCATATGAAAGCCTACAGGATAACTCGTATTGGGCTAAGGTGCTTTACTGCTTTGTTGACCATGTAAGCACATGCCGGGTGATTTTAGCACATGCCGGCAGTGGAGGGAATCAGAACTATTTTATTACAAAATAGTGGTATGTAAATTATTGTAATATCCATCAATGTTCACATGATCCTTTTGTATCGGTCACTGGTTGATGCTTACAAAATTTACAAGTTGATCAATTTTCTTTTGATGTATTTTGGATAGTTTGGTTGAAAGAACAATATTTATTCTTCAAATTAGAGATAAAATTATCTTTCGCTCAATGTTATGCTATAACGGTATAATTGTAGAATCTTATATATTTTACTGTGATAAAAATATTTGGTTATACAATATATAAGACATGAATCTTAATGAATTTTAGCAATGTGATTGCAGTGCTAATTAGAACTTAGGCATTTCACTTTTGTTGTTTTTAATTTGATGGAGTTTTAAACCTACCTATAGTACCTGCATATTGTTGTAGTTGCTTCTTTGCACATTATAGTTTTGAAAGTAAAGCCAGAACATATACTCTGGATTTGATTCGCTGCCTGTGGTTCGCTAGCCACTGGGATCTATGTTGACGACTTTATGTCATCTCCATTGACTGTGCAAGAAACCATGGAAGAACATGTCCCCACCAGACAAAGTAATGATAGGGATCAGCCACCTGGTGAGGAGGCCAACTATGATATGGAGATGTTGTTAGGACTAGAGGGTTCTGCAGATGGTGATATAGGTACAACCAATATGGAGCACAAAGAGTGCGGTGACCGGGACAATCAGGCACACTATGAGGAGAAGCTCGTGCTGGACAGGTAAAACAGGGATTTTTTTTCAGCTCCTTGCGTTTGGAGGTTACAGTCATAAAGAATTGTATTACACGGTATTGTTATCTTATCGTGCGATCCGTGTGTTTTTAGTGTAAAAGTTTAGCTGTCCCATAGCAACGTACGGGCACGCTACCTAGTATTCTATATATGTATTTATTTATTCATACGTACGTACATATATAAAAAGGATTCTTTATTTGGAAGATGTCTCTAGTACAGTAGTACATCGACACATGTTCAGCAGGCAAAAATGAAACTAGTTGACTAGTAGCTAGTACTATCGGCTATCCGCTGGCCGATACGTCCGCCGTCCTCGGAGGGGCGCTTCCGCTTGCCGCTGATGACGAGCACGTTGCCCTCCTCCACCTGGACCTCGACGTCGGAGAGGCTGACCCCGGGCATGCCGACAGCTAGGACGATCGGCCCGGACGGCAGCTCCTTGACGTCCATGGGCGTACGTGTTGGCCATGGCCCGGCGGTAGCGCACGTAGGCCCGCATCGTCGTGTTCAGCTGTCGCTCCAGCTCGTCGGTCAGGTCCATCAGCTGCTGCACTACCGCCAAGAACGCCGGGTTGCCGAAGCCGCCGAGCATGAGCTCCATTGCTTGCTCCTCGCTTAAGCTTGGGTTTGCTGATCAACAATGGCTGGTGACTTGAGAGCGGGCGGCGGCCCGCCGTCCACGGCCGCTGCGCCGTCATGTGAAGGCACCTCGTTCCCGTCCTGGCTATCCGAGCACGACAAGAAGCTCCTGGAGTCACCGTCCCGGGCGACCACCAACGACATCGTCGTCACGCCGAACGGCAGCGGAACGTACACGATCATCAAACGAGCACGTACTATACATGGCACATGCACTGATGCACGCAGGCATGCATGCATCACAACATTAGCCCTTTGCACGAGCACATACCGCGCTCCGCATCCAAGTGCCCGCGACGGCTTCAATCTGCTAGACCCGATCGTCATCGTCGTCCTATGCACCACCTCCGCGCTCGCCGTGTCTGGCGCGCGCACCATCAACTCGATAGCATTCGTGGTCGGCATCGCCATCATCTCGTTCATGCTGGTCGCGGGGTTCTCGCACTTCGAGCCCGCCAACCTCGCGTCGTCTTCTTCCCCTTTGGCTCTGCTGGCGCCTTCCGCGCCACGGCCATCATGTACTGGTCCTACACGGGGTTCGACATGGTGGCCACCATGACCGAGGAGGCCAAGAACCCCGGCCGCGACGTGCCGCTGGGCCTCATCTCGTCCATGTTGGTTATCACCCTCGTCTACTGTGCCATGCCCCCTGGTGCTCGTGGGGATGCAGCGGTACAACGACATTGACGCCAACGCTGCAACGCGGCCAACTCGGTGGCATTTTTTAGCGTCCGGGATGAAGTGGGCGCGTACGTGCTCCTGGGCCTCCTACACGCGGTGCTCGCTGTGGCCGCCACGGACGTGAACTCCCCTCCGCACGGCGATGGCGGTGCACAGCGGCTCTGGCAGCGCGCAGACAGCGGCGTTCGGGTGCTACGCGGACCTGCTGTTCAACACGGTGATGGGGCTCAGGGGCTGGGCCTATCGCTACACTGGCAGGTGGCAGCGGGCGCGTAGCATCTGACCCCGTTCGTAGTTGCCCGCGGGCGCAGCGGCTTATGAGGTGTGCGTGGTCAGTCAGGCCTTGCGCAGTTGAACTGAGGAGACACGTGTGCAAAAACAGGGATCTAAAATCGGTTTGGACCTTGGTGATACATTTAGCAAGTTTAAAATCCGATCCGAAAATCTGATCTTATAAATACATTGACTTATTTGAAAATATCGAATAAGTTCAAGCACCCACGGTGGATTTTACTCTAATAATTATTATGGCAATGAACTACTCCATCCATTCTCTTTTATAGGAGGTGCACACCTATCAAGAGTTAGTAAACTTTAAAAATTTTGATCATAACAATTTTAATTATTATACCATACATTTAATAAGGTTAGATTGGTAATGAAACGTACTATGTGACTATAAAAAAATTATAACAAATATACAAATAATATAATATAAATAAATGGTAAAAAACTCAAAATGTAGTTTGGGTTGCTCATAAAAAATATTCAAGCTGGCCCAACGGACAAATATGAAGATTTTTTTTAAATAATATTTTTTAATGATTAATTATAAATGTAGCATTGATTAAAAAAACTGCAGATGCAGCAACCTAGACCAGAAGCCGACAAGTCTCGGAGCGGACAGACTCGGACGGCAACCAACCATAAGTACTACTAGTAGTAGAGTAGCACGCAGCAGCTGGCTACCCAATCTATGTATGTATCCTTAGTTACACTAGTCCTTCTGCTTCCTCCTCTGATCGATCCATCCATGTTTATTTTATATATGTATTTATTTATTCATACGTACGTACATATATAAAATGCATTCTTTATTTGGAAGATGTATCTATGTAGTAGCTTCTGTCCGTGTCGCCGTACCGGGCCGATAGGCCTATCGGCTATCCGATGGCCGATAGGTCCATTACCGACGGCCCAACCTGCCCGTGCGCGCCGCCGCCGTCGGCTCCATTAATCCCGTTCTTCCCGTCGCCATCGCCAGACGTCTCGTCGGCCAGGACGAAGACGCTTGTCTCCTTGTCGGGCACCCACGCGCCCTCAGCGTCAGCGGCGTCACTGTCGCCCACGCCGCGCAGCGCTTCGGCCGCGACCAGCGTCGCGGAGCGATTCCCCTGGACCGCCTCCACGTTCTTGCGATTCAGCGCCGCCTCCACGTTCGCGTCGGCATCGGATCCCGCAGCCACAGTCTTCTTTTCTCGTCTTTTTTACTTTTCCATATCATCTGGTTGCTTTTGTAAAACTTTTCCGTATCATCTTTATCGATACAAGCCAGTTTTCGTATCATCTCTATCATAAATACAAGCTGACAGTTTCGAAATAAAATACTATTATTTCTTTTGCCTTCTTAGCTTTGGAGATATCTTTTATAACTTTAGTTTTTTCTACCGGCAGTTTTGAAAGAAAAAAAACTTTTTCATATCATCTCTATCTATACAAGCTGGCAGCTTTGAAAAAAAAAAGTGTACTGCATGTCTGCATAAAAATGGGAGGTACAGCTTGGATGACTGATCTGTGCCACCAGGACATCGGAAGCGTACGCGACCGCGTAGGAAGCAGCTAGACCGGTGATGATGTACTTGGCCGACATTGCTGAAGCTGCATAGTTTCGTAGGTTCCTGTCGGCTGCTCGAGAGCCGACAAGCCTGTTGGCATTCCAAAACCCCCGCCACGATACGGAGACCTATCGGCCCTCCAGCTCCCGACATGAGAGGAGGATGCTGGGTGCTTTGGCACCGCAGATAGAGATGCCCTGTGTGCTGTGATGCAAATTCATGGAGCTCTGCACTTGCACAAAGAGGAGCCTCGGAATTTAATTTATTCCATCCATGAAGATTCAGGAAGCTTTAAAGCTTGTTTAGATTGCTTCAAAGTTTCAAGTTTTTTCACTCTCTCTCTATCACATCGAATCTAGGGACACATGCATGTAGCAATAAATGTAGATAAAAAAATAACTAATTACATAGTTTGATTGTAAATTACGAGACGAATTTTATGAGCCTAATTAATCCATGATTGAACAATAATTATCAAATACAAACGAAACTATTACGATGCCAATTTTTTCTAACTCTTGCAATCTAAACAAGGCTAATTAAGGCCTTAGCCTACGACTACTCTCCCTGCCAGTCGCAGCAGTGGGCCAGAGGACACAGCAAGCCACACGGCCACCGCGCTCATCACTTGGCGCTGGCGTCAGCGTCGGCCACGTCCACGGTGCCGACGGCGGGCCTCTCGACGTCCTCCATGTCCTCCTCGCGGACGAACACCGCCTGGTCCAGCACCGACGGCCCGGCCTGCCCGCGCGCGCCGCCGCCGTCGGCTCCGTTAATCCTGTTCTTCCCGTCGCCGTCGCCGGACGTCTCGTCGGCCGGGACGAAGACGCCAGTCTCCTGGTCGGGCACCCACGCGTCCTCGGCGCCGGCTCCACGTTCTTGCGGTTCAGCGCCGCCTCCACCTGCGCCGCGGTGGTGGCCGTCGCGTCGGCACCGGCATCTGTGTCAGCGTCGCCGTGGCCCTCCCGCTCCAGCTCGGCAGTGCTGTGGGAGAAGCTCTGCACTGCTCCTCCGCGCCTGCAAAAGATCGACGCGGACATGTCTGTCACTTGGCGACGGCGGCGGCGAGAGCTCTCGTGGCCATGGACAAGCAGCTGCTGTGTACGCACTGAACACAGACTTTTGATCGACAGAGGAACGGACCGGGGAGCACGGAGGGGTTGTCCGTACAGTCCTTTAAACTTTTAACCCTGCTCTCGGCGGATGCCTTTTGTTTTCTGCTCTCGATGCTGCGTGAGGGAGGGCGGCGACGTGTGCAGACTGCAGAGTGCCGCGGGTGGTGGGCAATGGCGTGGCAGTTTTATAGGGCGCGGGCGGCGGCGCAGCCGCGCAGGCTTCTGCTGCTCTGCTCGGTCGGTGCAAGAAACAGAGAGGGGCGAGGGAAAGAGGCCGGCTACGGCTGCCTAGGCGACGCCGCTGGCTGCGTGCCACCGCTCACCCGCTCTCTGCAAATCAAGTCAGCGAATCTGCGCTGCTTTATCTCTCTCTCTCTCCCAGGGCTTCTTGTTCCACTAGCAGAGAGACCAGTGCGCTGCACACCTATATAAAATCAATTCTATAAAAAGTACTAACATGTATAACGCTAAAAGGCTATTCAATTGCTTATAGTATTTTTTATATTTTTTGTTCCAAAACAAAAAAATCATATTATGTTATAGATGAGCAAAACTTTTAATTTAATTAGATAATAAAACATAAGTATCATTGATTGTAAAATATATTTAGGTAAATCCTTGATCCGAGCGCTAGCCCTACAGCTTGTGCCATTGCTCCTGCTCCACTACCCGTCCCGCCTGACGACATCACCGGCGCAAGAAGCGTTGGGCCTTGGTGTGGAAGCCCTCCGGCCTCGCCTCCTGCCACAGCTGGGGTGCCCCGATGCAGACGGCGGAAGAGACCGCACCAGGACATGATGCATGTTGCAAGAGTACATTTGAAATGTTTCAGATGCTTTAGATATATGTTTCGACTGTTTTACATGGATGTTGCAAAAGTAGATCGGGATGTTGCATATGTTGCAATGGTTGTATACGTACGTTGCAAGTTTATGTGTCCAATGTTTCATTTGTTTTTTCAGAGGTATGTTGCAAGTGTGTTTATCTGGATGTTGCATATGTTTCACACATATGTTGCAAGTGTTTTATCTGGATGTTTGCAATGGTTTTCAATTGTTTTTGTAAGTGTTTCAGATGCATGTTTTAAGTGTTTCATCTGTCTTTTTTTGTATGTTGCAAGTGTTGCATCTGAATGTTTTAAAAGTAGATCGGGTGTTGCACATGGGATATGTGTGGGAAGCGAGAGGGGGCGCGAGCAGTCCTCGAGCGAGCGACGTTTGGGCGGTGTGGGTCCCCCGTGGGCGCGGGTGACACAAGCACGGTCGAGAAAAGTTTGAGCTACGCGGGCTCACGCGTGGCTGCACGAAACGAAGGAGAAACCGACCCACGGGCGTCCAGACGCGAGCGCCTGTCCGGACGTCCGAGCGCTAGAGTGACGAATATATTTTTATAACAAACTTATTTAGAGATTGATACTACTTTCTACATATTCTAGATAGATTCTTCGAAAACCAAGATAAGCAATATGTGTATTTATTTTGAATGCAATGAATAGTAGTAAATATATGGAAGACATAATATGGATATTTTTTTGTATAAACCTGTCTAAACCTAATAAAATTTGATTCATTGCTGCTTAGTTGAAGAAAGTTTGACTTGTCTTAACCTAGCATTGTATTTTTTTTTTCTTTTTGGGAGTAAATTCTTTCTCGGATACGACGAATATCATATGATTTTCCAGTCACGCACGCCTCCTGGCTGACGACAATTTTACAGCCGTGTCATCCCCCTCGTCACCTAGTAGCAGATCACCGAATCTTGAGTTCGAGAAAGCAGCGTGCGTTTCTGAATGACTCAATGACACGCTGACATGCGTGTGCGTCACTGAAGAAGCGCATCAAGAAAACGCAGTGTTGTTGCAACGCAAAAGAGGTGGCTACTGCCTACTGAAACACTCAGTAGCTTCTTCACGTAACGCGTGCTCTCTCTACTTACAATAGAACGGCGTCTGGAAGCTTGAGTTTCCAAGAGACGGGCCCAGACTAATTTGCTTCACTAGACAAGGCACATATTCCAGTCATTCAGCGCGACACAGATCACTGGAATGAGCAGTAAATACATATTGGACACAAAAATATTGTTTTTTATAAACTTGTCTAACTTAATAAACTTTGATTTACTGGCTCACTGCTGCTAAGTTTAAGAAAGTTTGACTTGTCCCATCTAGCATAGTTTTTTTTTGGGGAAGTAGTAATTTCCTTCTGGATATGACGAATATCAGATGATTTTTTGCAGTCACCCACGCCTCTAGCTTGACTGACAATTTTTCGGTAATGCTCACGAGTCACGACCGGCCGTTCAGACGCCGCGTTTTTTTGGGTCCGGCCCAAGACGCAACCGACGTGCTCCCTTTTACGCTCTATCGATCTCTCTACTTTCTACTGAGCACGCTACGATAGAAAATTATTCAATAGTTTTCTGTTGTAGAATGGTATGCTTCTAATGTACCCAATGTGTTTGTGCTTGTGCCTGAGAAATCTTAATTTGAGATTCTCACAAATTTAATCTTTTCTGAAAAAAAGCTCATGGCCATCCTTATATAAATGGAATTGATGCGCACAAATGTTGATAATCAGAATATGCTTTCTATAGATTCATTGTAATGTACGTTATAGTGTCCTCTGCTTATGCAATTTGCTTGGGATGTGATACTGCATTTTTACGTGCCTCTTAACTGCACTGTACTGTATTTGTTTGTTTGCCAGGTAGAATTTGTCATCAAAAGTAGTTTGCATGTATCTGGATCTTGTCGTGCTCACATTATGGGAATTGCAAGCTCCTCTGCATGATAATTCTGGTTACTTCATTAGAACACATAATTGTATGTACCTGGTTATCTTTGCATTTGAATTCTGTTGGTATCCAGTTGTGCTGGGGAGACCAAGAGCAAAGCATCTGTGAAATGCAATGCTCATTAGCCACCCTCTACTGTAGGGTTAAACTAAATTGTGTTCAACTTACCATTGTGCCCATGCACCATGCAAATATCTAGATGTAACATGTGAGATTTTACTCCTATTGCTAAGTTCGGTGCTTGTTTGCTTTTTTTTATTGATTGGCTGCTATCGGTCCTGATTTGCATTTTTTTTCTGAATGGCAATGGCAGAAGCTGTCTTTCAATTAAGAGGAAAATAGTTTATATACAATAATTTGGCATTAAGTTTCGCCAAACAAGACGGGGCACAGCTCCTTTTCTGAAAGGAGCAACCTAGGATACCCAAGTTCACATGCACGCCTGATGGCTGGGCAGCCTTCCTTCAAGTTCAATCTTTGTGCTCGTACTGTACTGCAACTAGTAGATGCCAATTCATTCTGGGTTTTAAAGCTCGGGGGAGGACTGAACAACCTAACACGGCCTGCCCCAAATATAATCTCATTTACATTTTCCTGAAGTCAAGCTCTGTGATAATCTGACTACTTTCGTTATAAATAAAAGATAATTTCATAATACGTTTCTATTTGAAAATGCTGTTTGTCTAATTGTGTCATACTGTCATATTAAGAACCATGACCATGATGTGTTCTATCTAATGTGCTTATATATCTAGAACAAGAGGGACAACAGGAAGGTGTTGTCCTAGTCTAACTTTAAGGTGAAGCATGAGGCGTGCATGTATGTCCAGCCTGCCAAAGCCAAACAGCAACAAATAAAGGCCAAGGGGCCAAAGCGTCCTTTTGGTTAACTGCATTGCACGGCAGATCCATGGGAGGTAGAGCTACACTGAACTATTATAGGGGAAAAATGATAGCCAGAGATTAGTTTCGTATACAGTCAAACAAGGGCTACACTCAAGGATTATTAATTTGGGCTATTGAAAGTTCCTAATATGGCTAGAGGGGGTTGAATAGCCTATTTAAAATCTACAAATCAACTAGAACAATTTGATTAGTATAACAAATAGCGTAATGCAAACTTGCTCTAGCACTACGAGGGTTGCAAGCCGCCTATCCAACAATTCTAGTTGCTATGATCACTAAACACACAATTTGCTATGTCACTACTCACTAAGAGCTCTCACACTTGCTACACTAAAGAGCTCCACTAGATGAACTTAAACTACAAAGCAAGCTCTCAATTCTAGTTACACTAAAGAGCTTGCTATAGCTAGTTTGCGGGAATGCAATTGAGTAAATGAGGTGATTATACCGCCACGTAGAGGAGTGAACCAATCACAAGATGTATACTTAATCAATCACTGGGAGAATACCAAAGGGCATGAGACAAATAATTTTTTTCTGAGGTTCACGTGCTTGCCAACACGCTACGTCCCCGTTGTGTCGACCAAAACTTGGTGGTTCAGCGGCTAAGAGGTGTTGCACAAACCTCGTCCACACAATTGGACACCGCAAGAACCAACCCACAAGTGAGGTAACTCAATGACACGAGCACTCCACTAGAGTTACCTTTCGGCGCTCCACCGGGGAAGGTACAAATCCCCTCACAATCACCGGAGATGGCCACGAACAATCACCAACTCGTTCCAATCCTCCTCCGCTGCACCAAGCCGTCTAGGTGGTGGCAACCACCAAGAGCAACAAGTGAATCTCACAGCAAAACATAAATACCAAGTGCCTCTAGATGCAAACACTCAAGCAATGCACTTGGATTCTCTCCCAATCTCACAATGATGATGGATCAATGATGGAGATGAGTGGAGGGCTTTGGCTAAGCTCACAAGGTTGCTATATCAATGCAAATGGCCAAGAGAGTGAGCTTGAGCCGGCCATGGGGCTTAAATAGAAGCCCCCACGAAATAGAGCCGTTGTACCCCTTCACTGGGCACAACACGGGGTGACCGGACGCTTCGGTCAGTTCGACCGGACGCAGGACCCCAGCGTCCGGTCGCCCGATGCTTGCCACGTGTCATCGGCTTCAAACGCCGATCGCCTGATCTCAACGGTCAAGTGATGACCGGACGCGTTAG